TTAAAATTTTAAAATTTTATGCGATATAATCGAATAGCTAATAATTATAATAAGCTTATATAAAAATGTGAAGAATTCAAATAATTTGAAGAAAGAGAAACTATACAATAACACATTGAATTAAAAATAATAATTTGATATTATATTAAAGTTAAAATTGTATGCGATATAATCTAATAGCTAATAATTATAATAAGCTTATATAAAAATGTGAAGAATTCAAATAATTTGAAGCTAGAGAGAAAGAGAAAAAGAGAGTAAAACTAAAGGTTTTTATGGTATATAATACAATCTCATTGTTATTAAATTATAAAACAATAATATTATAATAAAATAATTTTATTTATGAGTTGAGCATAAGACGGCTACATTTAATACTAAATATTTGATTGCTGCATAAAATTTTGTAATTAATTATTTTGAAATATATTAAATATAATATGTATATTATAAAGATCTCAATGGGGAATAAAGAGAGCGAGATGCACATTCATTATAATGTACATTGTACATAGTTGTACAAAGTATTTTTTAAAATAATACTGTAATTAACAAGCATAGACAATAAATAGATGTGAAAATTGTGGACATGAGCAAAAGATGCAGACTTCTAGGTTTTTACTTTCCTGGCAGCCAAACTTCCGTATTTAATTCTAGCGCATTTTGCAGAAGAGCATTGCATTGCTCATCTGTGAGTTTTTCGTTTCTTTGTTGCACTTCCTTTACGACTTTTAAATACCTACGGGATAAAATATATATTTTATGATTGTCGCACATATTTTCTGCATTTAGATATATAGAAAATAAATTTGCTTGTTAACACTATTTTATATTAGAAATTTTTAATTTATTTAAAAAAAATTATGTTTGAAATATGGCACGTGTGTGATAGCTTTGTGAAATAACTCATAAAATAAAATAATCAAGATTTTAGTAAAGTAAAATTACTTTTGTATAGAAAGGACCATATTCTTGATCTCATTCTCAACAGTTCTTGGTGACGGTCTCACATTTTCCGTGTTTTCGATATGTTTTATCCGAGTAAACGGGCAAATACGAATCCATCCACCTTCCTTTACACAGGAAACCCTCCAATCTCTGCCGTTGTCCCAAATCGTTTTGGAAGTGTAATTCTCGATCGTATTTCCTTTATATCCTCGACGTATGTATTTATCCATTAATAGCGGGTTGTAATGGGACCAGGCAGTTGAACAAATTTCCGGAGTTGATTGTCTTAACTGATAATGAGAAAAAATTAAGATATAAGCAGCATATTTTTTTCCAATAAATAGTACATTTGCAAACGTGAATTTATTTTGATAATATTAATTTTTATTTAATATTTTTTAAGATTAATCTTTTTCATGTTTCTTGTCTATTAAACTAAAAATATTATTTTTGGAATTTTATTATTATTACCGTAGCTCGGGTATCCGGGGAGAAATTTAGAAAAGCATCGGTTTCTCGTCCGAGTTTTGATTTTTTTTTCGTGGAGCGGCCAAATTTGGAAGACATTTCCTTCTCGTCCTCTTCGACGCGATCAGAGGAGGACCAGATTGTAAATAGGGAGAGTCCGGTATTACACACTGGAAGACCTAATAAATCAAATAGATCATGCAATAGGGGCTTTTTCACTTCCGAATCAACTTCACAGTCATTACTCAAAGCCGGACTTAAGTTCACCTGTAATTTAATTTGTTGTATAAATATGTTATGCATTATTACGATATCTCGAGATTGAATTATTTAATTTAATTATTTGTGTTGTATTGACCTCTAAGAGCCACGGTTTTAAATTCTCGTCGATTAACACATCAAAACCGAAAAATTCGAAACAATTCGAGGATTTAGGAATGCCTGCCGCTTGACTTAGGATCGTTAGAGTCACTAAACAAGAGATTTTTTGCCATAGAATCCAGTCAAAGTATCCTGATTGCTCGAAATATCTTCTTAATTGTCTAAACGTCCATTTGCATCCTATGTAGGAATGAAAAAGTTATGTATTAGTTCAATTTTTTTAACCTTCACACACGATAATAGAACAAGGCATTAATGAAGAACAAAATAAAATTAAATATAAAATAAAATAATATATATATAATAATTTTAATTAATTATTATCTAACAAAAAAAATTAATACTTCGCAAATAAATTGAATAATTTTCTTATCATATTAGGTTGGAAGGAAAGTAATGTCATATTCTCAATAGATGACTAATGTGTTTTATTAAGAATAAAAAGAAAGTAAAAATAAAAAAATAACAACGATGTTACTTTTCTTCCAACTCAGTATTATAAATAAAACATAATCAAATAATATGTAAATACATTTCAAAAATTAATTGTAAAATTATCAAACAAAAAGATTTTTAAAATATAATTTCATATTTTTAGATACTCATATATACAATATATGTAAAGTCTTACATATGTGATGTGCTAGTTAATTGCAATTTATATAAAACATGTCTAGTGTGAATAAAATTATGCTATTAGCATTAAATACCGGCACCGATGCGTTCCTTCTTTTCTGAGTAGCCTGGTCCTAACTTGTTTAGGGAAAAATTAGTTAGATGTCGAAACGGATCGTCCAATCGTTCCAAGGAAAATTTTTCGGTAGCGAAACGGGCCAAACCTTCCTTGTACAAATAAATCGTCAATGGGCGATATGACGGTACGCATACATACAGGCGAAGATCGAATTTGTATCCGCCGATTAGCAAAGGATTCTCGATATATCTTTGCGCAACCGCGGCATTGTTGTATGATAGATCGCTTAATTTCTGAAAAGATATATTTATATCTAATTTATGCAATTTGTACTTCGATTTGCACTGATGTATTCTTAAAGAGAAGCCTTACGCGAAACAAAAAAATTCCTTTTCCTTGACTTTGCCCAACTGGTTTACAAATCCAAATTTTGTAGTCTTTCTCGTAACGACTACATTCTTCGGCCAATTTCGTGTATTCGGAAGGCAAGTTATATCCTGCGGGACTATGCGATAAATTAATATTGTTAGAAAGAGAGATAAATTTATCGTTCATAATACCTGAAGTCATAAATTGAACCGTGGATTTTTTTCATACATTTCAAGTGACGAATCAGTTTATCCTTTCGGCAGATGGAATTTCCTTTTGGTATCCGATTGACAAACTGCTCGAAAAATAATGTAGCTAACGTTGACTTAACTAAAGTTCTATATATAACTCATGCTGTAAATTCTCTCTAAACTTAATAAATAATTAGAAGACTGTTGAAACGAATAGTTGAAATTTTATCAAATAAATTTAAGTTTATCTAACTCTATTTATTCAAAAAATTTATTTATTATAATAAAAAATTGCAAGAATTTTAAAAGAACAATGTTTTTTTTTTATTTTTTTGCAATTTTACGCGAAATATGTGCTTATTGTCAATATTTTGAATGGAGATTTTAAAACAGGGGTAGAGATATTGTATTATTACCTGCCAGGGGAGTAATGGCTTATAATGTGACGTGGGGAAACCTCCGGACCGCCACCATAAATTCCATCGATCTTTGAATACATTATTTTCGCCGGCATACTCCCGCCATCCTCTTTCCGTGCAAACCTGTAGAAATAACATTCGCGAATAGAGCAAAAGGATGGCTGATATTGGCTCGACAAAGGCTAAATACTATTTATAATCCGTCTCAGATGTCGATACGTTCGCGAGTGCTTGAGCATTTTTCCTCGTTGCCAGATGACAACAATGTAAAATGCTATGGTGAAATATATCTTGCAATCATCAATATACTATGTTCGTTTATATTTTTACGTTTCATTGAAATTCATAATTATTATTTATAATTATTACTCATAATTGTTTTAAATTGAAGCATACTATTTTTTTAAATTGAGTTATTTATATAGACTATATTGGTAAAAATAATAGTTTTATCGATGCAAATATAATGCAATCTTAGATATAAATATTCTTATAAATATATTCGAAATGCATTCGACTTATTTTAGTTTCTCGCGATATATGCGCTTATATATACCAGTTACAACCGGAATACCATAATCGATATCTATTTAATTCATATGTGTATGTTATCTATATGTATACGTATTGCGTCAGTTCAATTAGCCAAATTGATAGGCCGGAACCATTTACAGTTCGGCAACCGCGCGAAAATAACTTCATTAATTCCAGATATCGCACTACGCATTTTGAAGTTTCGCAAAACTTTCGAGGGTGAGGTACGAAAATAGCGACGACCGCCCTTGATTTATTGTCGTGTTATTGGAACATTAGGAATGACTGCTCGCAGTATCAGAAATGAACCAAGGTCTATGATTACAATTAAATCTCGTATATCACTTTAATTAAAAAGCTTATTCTCGAATCGTTTTAGTTTTAAAATAAAGATATTACATAGTTACAAGATTTTATTATATAACTTTCCTGTTATAACATTTTGTAACAAATTATTTTAAAAATATGGTTTTAAGATGGTTTGAAAACTCTTTAACTATATGAAGATAAATATATAATTGAAAAAAGATTAATTACGTAGTTGAATAATTCGAGAATGATCAGTTTTGTTCATGTACATATTTTAAATTGGACGTGTTTGTTTGACGTGTTATAATTTAATTTGTGTGTGTCTCTGGATTTAAAATATAATTTCTTAGATGCGGTACTCTCTTATATAAATTTTCTTGCAACATGCAACGGAATTTGAAATTCTATAATATTTGATATAAGATACGCTATTATTTAATTTTGATTAATCATACGTTGTACGAAGCGATTGAGCTACTTTCCGAGTTTTAAACGAACTTATTTTAGACACATTTATGCAAACTCCGAATGACTCGCGAATTATACGAGAGACTGCTGTCACTGACAATCTTCCATTTTTTAGGTTGTTTTTTCACGAATAATCTAATCTTTTCTGCTCTATTTTGCTCGACTGCTGTAGTTAACTGTCAAAGGCAAATGAGCAATTGGCCTATTAAATGAAGTTCGTTGAGCGAGGTAATTTCGTATAGCACTACTCGTATGACGTTTAATATTCAGGCATAACGACCTTTTTGGTCATTTGCAGGTAAAAACCTGCAAATTTCTGTGCGGTTTTTAATTATCGCAAAGCGGGTTTTTAATCTTTCTGCATTGTCTTATTTTCGGAGACTTGCGTATAATATTATATTTAGAATAAAGTATTATTATCAAGTTTATGATTGAAAATGATAGTCTTTTCAGAATTCTAAGATTTTTCCGATTTTTCCGATAATAACTTATATTGTTTATATATGATGCATTCTTTCCTGATCCAATTTTTTTATGAATTTAGAATTTATTTTTTATTTAAAATAAAGATAATATAATATTGTAGTTTTCGTATTATAAAGCGATGAAATATTTAATTGCTATTAAAAGTTTTATTGTTTGTTTGAATTAGATTTTATCTTCTTAAATAAATTTGATTTGAGATTTAGTTAAAATGTTGAAATTTAGCGTTAGGAATTAAAAATTTGCTTTGATTGTTTATATAATAATAATAATAGCTTTTCCGAAACTTTAATGAAGAAAAGGAGTATAATAACGTGCCGATATAGAATACAATTAAATAGCACGGAAATGAGAAATCTCATGCCGAAAATTTCTGCGAAATCCAACTAAGTCCTCCGATTTCTGCTTTTTTTATCGTTGCATGTCACAATTACCTAATCGTCGCGTCTAAAAACGGCGTATGCACGCAGAGGCGCGTTGCAGGTATGTATTGTATACCTTGAAAAGTATTTGGTTCAAGGGCGCTAAGATCTAAGTTTGTAACCATATCGCGAGGAAGTTCCAAGGGACATGAAAGCTGAACTAGAAAACACCTACCTTCGCGTTTACGTATCGAATATACTACATACGTTTTTCGTCGGAGTTGACGACCTTTCGCGTCGAATCGAATCGATTGTTCGCGATGCATCGCGCGCCAACGCTCGTGCAAAAACGAAGGAATGACGTGTAGAGATTCTACGAGTAGATTGGAATGCTTGGTTTATGATTTTGTTCGTGCTTTATCGAAAATCTGATCGACGATCATACGTCTGTGGGATCGTGGAAAAATGCAATTAACTGTACCTGTACAAGTAAATGCGGTCCGGTACCGTTCTCATTTAGTTTGAACACAAAAGGGCCTTCCATGCATTTTATTGCCATGCCGAAGTACCATATTTTTGAATAATAAATACAACGAATCTCCCTCCGGCTGAATTACATCGATGTTACATTACATTTCACAGAAATATATTAACGACATGTGATCTAAAAAAAGATTTAATTAATTAAGTAATTAAATATAATGTTTATGTTAGCAAGCGCGACGATAAGTTAGCTATTTGCTCAATTTTCTATTGTAATGATCAAGCCTTTTGTTAGTAAATCAAAATCATTGCTTTTCTTATCGAAAGATGAAAGAATATCACCTCAGATCTTTTTTTCATTGTAAAACGAAATAAAAATTACGCAAATATTGATGAAAATAAATAACCATCATTATCCAAAAATAAATATAATTTCACTAAACAGTGTGTGTGTGTGTGTGCGTATGAAATAAGTAAACAGATATTTTGTAAACGCAGATTTTTAAATTTCCTGGATAAAAATAGCAATAACAAGTTGTAAATTCGTCTTTAGTACTTACAAATAATAGACGAAATTAGTTCAAGAAAGAAGCGTGAGATAATTGATTGATATGAATTACGTGATAAAAGCATATTGTATTTCTTGATACATAACGTGCGCCTGCATGTTAATGTACATTGTACAAGTATAACTCAATATCAGGCACATGTTTGTTATGTTTTGAACATAAAATGCGTGTAAGTCATGAAGCCATGTGTGTCGTATTTGACTTCTCGGTATCAGCAAAAAAAAAATGAAATATATAAACTTACCTTTGCAGATAATATACATCTATTAATAATATTAATCCTCTTAGAAAGTTATCTGTAAATAAATATTATATTATATTGTATATAGTTACAAATTTTATATATAATTACATTATATACAGAAATTAATCTCATTTTAAATGTTAAAAATATTTGAGATATATAATTTATTTAAACGTTTATATATATACATATTTATATAATAAATTTATATAAAAGAGAGAGAGAGAGAGAGAGAAATAGAAATAGAATGTAAGTGAAATTACAGCAAAAATTATATATTATGAATGAAAACATTTCACTATATAAATTATAATCTTATATTTATATTAACTTTTATAAAGGACTTACAAAGGCAGTTGTAATCGGCATAAGTATTAATTTCGCTGATAATTGTGTTGCCATTTCGACTTGGCAAGTCGAGAGTCATCTGTGATTTCGATACATCGAAGCTGTTTGTCCGCGATGTTTCTCGTTAAAATAACGGATGTAGACAAGGCGGGATTTCGACTCTCACTGATGCGCGGCCACGTTCCGGTCTACGCAATCGCTTTCGACTGGTTCGCAGGTGCGCAGGTTACCTGTGGGTCGCTTGCAGCTTTTATGCGCTTTCCGCCGCGATTGCCGCAAAGGTCGGCAAGGACGCCGGAAGAGAATGCCGGATAGTAGGCGGTCAGAAGCAGTTTATTGGGGAAAGATCTGAGAGACTTTAGATAATACGAATTTATGGAAGGTTATTAGAAGCACGCGACGCGCATTATTTTTCTCTAGCCAAAAATGGCAGCTAATGAGACTTTAGACCTCGAGTTGAAACATAGTACATTGATATCAGAATAATGCAGCTTAATTATATTATATTTGTTTCTCTTATCGACTTCTTGAAATTGTTAATTTTCCGATTTATAACTTTAAAATTTAAAGCGAAGTAAATATAATGCAATAAAATATCAAAATAACATAATAATACATTATCATTAGAGAGTTTCAAGAAATAAAATATTTTTTAGAAAAATATTTGTTATCTTTTTAAAGTTATAATGCGTAAAATGATTATGATCAACGTATTTTTAATTAATTTAAAATATCTATACGAATTATTAATCCATTGTAATTCATATCAACGCGTTCTAGTAGTTTCAAGTTCGAATATGACATTGAATCTTTCTCTAGCAGCTGCGTGCTTTTAAAGACCGACTCGACGCACTGTTAATAGGGGATAATTGTAATTGATATTTATGATGGCTCTGACTGACAATGAGAGAGAAGACATTTGTCAGATGTCACGCGACAATAGATATGTAGATACGGGAATAATTAGCGTTCTTGAAAAAATGTTTAAGCTGTAGCAATTACGACTAATTAGGATGTTTGATTACTTTAATTTTGTGGAAATATTTTTATCACAGCGAAACGATATGAAGCATGTTTAACAATCATTAAGATTCACTGACGATTAACGAGCATGAGAAGGACACAACTACAGATTAGATGGTTGTGGTTATACGTAAAGATGAAAAGGGCGAACGTAATACTAATGCCTCAACGACTTGACGTCAAATGTGAAATGTCTTGTTTTAAATTAAATTTCTCACTATATACTTTTTTGCCGCGAGAATCAAGTGTAAAGGAGTATTAGGACACATTGGAATATTCAATATTATATTTAGAATCAAAGCAAATGAGCAAAGAGAGAAAAAGAAAGAGAGAGAGCTATAGACAAGGTTTTTGATAACAAATGTATGAGAATAATTAATCTTTTGTAAATTGTAATATTTGTATATTGTTTTAAGATCACAAAAAAGTTTTAAATGAAATAGTTTCTATTTGCAAATGTAAAATCTGAAATATCTCTTTTTTTTTAGAACTAGATATTATTTTTGACAGATGATTTTTTTATTAATTTTATTTTTTTCCGCTTTTATATAAAGTCCTGCTTTTGTAAGAGAGTAGCTTTCCGAATAAATTTCTTTAATATACACACATCGACAGTTCTCTTATCAAAACATATGACTGTCAAGAGTGATTCTTTTTTAAAAATGTCTTTCAACAATATTTCAATAAGGATCTGGTTTTGGTCTAACTCGTAAATGTCATATGCTAATTTTATTTATGAAGTATCTTGGATGTCTAAAGAGGCAGAAATTTTTTCGTATGTGTCTTCTTCAGAAGCGGCCAGGTACCGCAAGGCCACATTAATGACAAATCGATGAGACGTTGTAGAGAGTGACTGTTTCTGTTAAATACTCAAATTAGTCTAGTTGTTTTCGTTGAACATCGATATCCTAATTGCATTGATCTCTTTTGATGGATAAAAATAACGCTCGATATGGAATGTACATATGACATTTTTGCGGCCTATTTATCTCAAAAAATCAGGGTGATCGGTGACATCGGAAAAAATAATTGATGTGATATCAGTTATTATATTATTATATTATATTATGATATTATGATATTATTTCATATTAATAATATATATTCGCCATTTTTTTAAAGATTTTCTCTTTATTGTGTTTATTTTTCTGAATGATATAAATATCATTTTATGCGACATCTATTCTATAAATAACTATCACTTCTAACAATATTATAATTTTTATCAGATGTAACGATAAAGATTTTTTTTGTCAAAATCACCCTAATTGATCCTGTATTTTTGTAGCTATATAAAGGATTCCTCGCGGATCTGACAAAAGGTTAGTGCAATGATTTCGGTCAAGACACAAAAAAAGAAAGTAATCACGATAAAATAATTTGTGCGTTAACACTGTACGCTTCTTATTTTCGTTAGACCTCCTCTTCATTATTTTACTCTTCCTGTTCTTCTCCTCTCATCATCCCATCGATCATTTGCGATGGTCGAGAGTATATGATCTTAACGCGCGTGATTTTTGCAGAACGGACGACCGCCTTTCGCATAAAAGCTTTGACCCTCAAGATTCTTCTTGCACATCTGATAAGTTAATAAAGAGATATACGTTTAATATGCGTTTAACGAATCGGAAAAAAATTATATATTGTTTTTCAAAATTGTAGTTCCGGTAAAACTGCATTCGATATGGAATGTACATATGACATTTTCGCGGCCTATTTATCTCAAAATAAACTTCAGGATACAATCCATTCTTTCATTCATTGAAGTATCTAATGTCAGGTGTAAATAACATTTATAAATAACGTACGACGTTTTCCTTATGTTTTATCATGAACTACTTTACTGGATTTTTATTATATTCTTCGGTGTAACACGCGAATCTCCCATAAAGCTTGCTTTAACTGATAAGAGAACCTTGGAAACTCTTTTCACATAGTTTCGATGAACCTCGGAGATTTCGTAAAATAATTCAAAACTGAATAGCAATTATATTTATATTTGTATGCGTAATATTACCGTTTAGATATAATATTATCGTTTGCAAGATTAAAATCATTTTTTGAAACAATATCTTCTTGATAGATTGAAACAAACATCTTTTAAATTTTAATATTGTTAGATTGAGTTACTCATTATATTTAGTAACGAAGTTTTATAATGTATAACACATACTTTTTATATTTACCGTGGAACTTTAAAATAATTATGCTAGTTGATTTCTAAATATTTCAATGTTGACAGGATGAGGAAGATTGAGAGTAAATTTTGAGTGAATACACTTCATTTTATTTTATAAGCAACACATAACACGCATACAGAGGCTTGTACGATGTTCTAATAATTGGCCGAGTATCAGAACGTTGAAATTTCGTGGTCCGCGTCGTTATACTTTTGTCAGTGATCGGCGATAGTCGATTGATCGTTGAAAATTATATTTACGATTGTACAGGAAAAGTCAAATCCCCTCGCACAATATACTTTCCTTTTTACAGAATTGTCGCGAACACACAACTCAAGATACATTTATACACTATATAATTACAAGATTATACTATATATTACCACAAATAAATGAATTCTGTCGAAATCTCTCGCGCAATGCTTTTTCTTTCTCTCTTTTTCTTGCTCGTTCTCATTCGCAGAAACTATGACTATACAATAACAGAAGCTCGCGCGAATGGCACAAAAAATCGGTAACCTTTAGACATAACATAATATGATAATCATCTTGTTCGAATTTTTAATTTCGTAAAAAGCGAAGACTAATGACATATTGTCCTTAAAAAAAAAAAAACTTGTCAAGGTGAAAAACGTCTCCTTCGCTGATTACAAATAATAGATAACTGATTGCAGTGTTAAATTACACTTAGGAATTTTATTATTTTTATCTCCATGAAGGAATTGTAAATTTAGATGTATGTTGTACGCTCTAAAATCTTGGAAGTTTAAAGAAAACTTAGATATTTTTTAAAAATATTAAGAAATCTCTTTTCCCCTAAACATTTCAAAATTTAAAAAGACATGGGTCTCCAAAAAATTATAAATGTGAATTTAGATTTAAGAGTTTCATTGATAATTTTGAAGAATTTTTTTCTTATAAAGGATTGATGCCACAAATCACAGTAATTAGGAGTTAAGAGTTGTCAGTGAAAGCGCACGGCAGGTCGTTTCTACCGTACGAATTTCAGCCTTTCGTTTTTTCAACTGACGGACGGATCGATCGTTTGATTAAATGAAAGCCCGAATGCATGTTGAACCTGTTATCAGTCTCGGCCGATTCCAGGGTACGGCAGATGACTTATGGTAAAGTTTGCATGCATTGTGAATATATATCTGCTCGTCGATTTAGTAAAGCTATTAAGCATTTTCGGTGAAAATACTCGTTAACAATCTGCACGCACAATATGCCGGACTGACGATCGTAAATTAATAAATATTATTTGTTATTTTTTTAATTTACATTTTTTCGTCTATAAATTAAGAACAATTTATTGCAAATTTATGAAATTTAAAAAATAACCATAACCTAATTTTAACAACAAAATTTTAAGCATTTGACTAGCATATTTTCAAGAATAATTTTTTAAAAACTTGTTAAGGGAGTTCTTGACTATCTATTATAACATTTATTATAACATTTTCTATTTATTAATAATAATTTTGGCGTATGCCTTAGAGATTAATCCTTCTACTCTATCAAAGAAATAACACTTTATATTATTTAATATTATTTATAATTATATACTTGATAATAATAAACATATGCTTGATTGCTTATTAGAAATAGAATTTATGTTTAATGTCGACCGTTTTGAAAATAGCGATAATAAATTTCAATAAAGTAAAAGGATTACATCTCTTATAAAAAAAAAAGCAAACGCGAACGCATCAGCGAAGTGAAATTACTTGAACTTGTTTTGATTACTATCGTTAACCATCGAAGAGTTATCTATGTCTCAATAGAAATCTAATATTCTTATAATTGTACGCAATTTTGATTAGTCGGAAACCGTATATGATTATTTTCTCTTTTTATACACAGTTATTCATCATTCATACTTTCCTTTCAATCCGATTTTTATTAATCATTCATCTATTCTCTCTCGATCATATTCTCTCTCTTTCTCTTGTCACGGAGCATCGCCATCGTAGATCATCGAGAAATGGAATGCCACCTGAGACATTTGCTAGCGCTCGCTGCATCTCGATGCACCTTGGAAGTTCAAAATTATGCGATAGCTCACGTAATACTAATTGCTCGGGTGACCTTTGCGTGATCCATGATCAGCAAACGACGACTTTACTGACGGTGCATCCGTTATGTGTTGTATCGTTTCGGTGTTTCCTACCGCGAACGACTTTACGAGGTATTTCACTAGCTCCGCAAGGATCGTGATTAGATCTCCAGTTATTAAACAGAAACCGCAAAGTGCAAGGATATGTCGTCAAACGTAATTAATTTTGCCGATCGCTCGCAATCGACGTCGATGTCGCGACGTATGATATATTCAATACGGCGATGGACTTACGATTAAATAAAATCGCAAATGAAAACCAAAACACATATTTATAGACACAAGATCGTTAACTTTACAAAGCATGAATGAATTTTTAGCGCAAGCTGCGCGATGTCTATAGAATTACATATAATGACGAATGTCTTTCAAGGAATATTTGATTAGAAGAAACTATATACCGTTTGAGTGTGTGTTGTATGTATGTGTGTTGTGTCGTATTGTGTGCTTATAAATAAAAAAAAATTAATAAATTAATAAACTTCATAAATTGGAAAACGGAGATTTCAACTCCGTTGATCTCTTTAGGATTTAAATGATCATTGGTCTCCTGCGTCGCATTCCTAATTAAGCTAGATAATAAATATTAATTATTAACTCTCTTATAGCCGGACGACGCGAGGCATTATTAGTATCTCGTGAAAATGTGTACATTGTGTAGAATTAATCAGGGTGATCGGTGACATCGGAAAAAATAATTGATGTGATATCAGTTATTATATTATTATATTATATTATGATATTATGATATTATTTCATATTAATAATATATATTCGCCATTTTTTTAAAGATTTTCTCTTTATTGTGTTTATTTTTCTGAATGATATAAATATCATTTTATGCGACATCTATTCTATAAATAACTATCACTTCTAACAATATTATAATTTTTATCAGATGTAACGATAAAGATTTTTTTTGTCAAAATCACCCTAATTGATCCTGTATTTTTGTAGCTATATAAAGGATTCCTCGCGGATCTGACAAAAGGTTAGTGCAATGATTTCGGTCAAGACACAAAAAAAGAAAGTAATCACGATAAAATAATTTGTGCGTTAACACTGTACGCTTCTTATTTTCGTTAGACCTCCTCTTCATTATTTTACTCTTCCTGTTCTTCTCCTCTCATCATCCCATCGATCATTTGCGATGGTCGAGAGTATATGATCTTAACGCGCGTGATTTTTGCAGAACGGACGACCGCCTTTCGCATAAAAGCTTTGACCCTCAAGATTCTTCTTGCACATCTGATAAGTTAATAAAGAGATATACGTTTAATATGCGTTTAACGAATCGGAAAAAAATTATATAATGTTTTTCAAAATTGTAGTTCCGGTAAAACTGCATAAAAGAACTGCGTAAAACACACCTCCGATTTTATTGCCACTTAAAAATGTTGTAAGGGAAGTTCCTCTGAGTAATTCCACGCAAGAAATTTATGGGGAATGGCATTAGCTTAGGAGATATAACAAATTAAGTTTCATAGTTTTAATGCTTTTTTTATTATAAAATAAGGAAAAATGAAGTTTGTTTACGTTGTAATTTAAAACTAAAATAGATGAAACTATTGACAAAGTATTCATGAGTATACCTATCCTGTAAATGTAAACAAACACTTTTTCGTCTGCTCTACAACAAATATAACGTACACAAAGTTCACTTTTCCTAATATTACTTTATAATACCTGAGAAAAAGCATTAAAACTATGAAACTTTAATTTGTTATATCTCCTAAACCAATGCCGTCCTCCACTTATTTCTTGCGGGGAATTACTCAGAAAAACCTCCCCTACAACATATTTAAGTAGCGATTAAATCGGAGGTGTGTTACCTTTTATACAGTTTTACTGTAGTTCCCGATGCATTAGAATGTTGACAACATTTTGAAAAATGAAATAAAGTAAAATAAAAAATAGTAAAGATCTTAAAGAAATGAAGTTTCTTGTGAATTATTACGAACCGTGCAGTTGAAGCACTGGCTGTGGTAATTGTTGTTTAGGGCCTCCACCCAACGATCGCCAGCCTCGACTGGGAATCCACATGCAAAGCATTTCGTGGTAAACAGCTCATTCCAGTCTGTGTTATAGAAGAGATTATTAATTAATTCTCTTCGAATATTCTGAATTTTTATATATAATTAAATATAATAAATAAAAAATAAAAAGAACGTATTGAACTTATAATCACGACTATTCTGATAAAACTAAAATAAATTATTTTAAATTTCTCTTTTTATGGTTAATTTTTATTAAGTAATTGAGATTATGATTGATAATTAAAAATACTAACCAGCTTCGCAATAGGGCAATCCTTCTTCCAGGAAGAATGGATTGTTGCCAAAAAGTTTGCCACAATAAGCGCAATTGAAGCATTCAGGATGGAAGTGCTTTCCAATTGCATTCAAGCAATCCTAAACATGAAATGCAGAAATCATTAATGACTCGAATCAGCATTATTAGACGATCGCGTATTATTGGCAATATATAAGTCACTTAAATAGGTATACTTACCCCCTTGATCTTGTTGTTGCATTTGTTGCACGTGGGCGCGATAAATCTTTCGAAACAGTATTCGCAGTAGAGTTGTCCTTTTTCCTCGACAAAGCCGATGTCCTGAAGAGGACGACGGCATTGAGCGTTGACACAGACGAAATGATCGGGACACCAGATTTGGCCCAGAGCGGTGATAAAGGGTCCTCTGTGATTATATTATAATTAATGCAGTATAATTAATATAAATTTAATTAATTTATATAAAATTAAATTAAAATTAAATTAAAATTAAATTAAAATTAAATTAAAATTAAATTAAAATTAAATTAAAATTAAATTAAAATTAAATTAAAATTAAATTAAAATTAAATTAAAATTAAATTAAAATTAAATTAAAATTAAATTAAAATTAAATTAAAATTAAATTAAAATTAAATTAAAATTAAATTAAAATTAAATTAAAATTAATTTTATAATTATCATGAGACAATATTACGTATCATTTTCTTAGGCATGAACAAAGCATAAACAAGGCTGATATTTTATAATGCTAATATTTTACAATAATAGCTTAAGGGTTCTGTTGTATTTTTCAAAATATCAGTGTTAATGGTAACTTGCGATGTAAAGCAGACTTTTTATACGAACCTTATGCACTCTTTGTTGCCTTTACAGCACACTGGCTTTAGGGTGAAGCCGTTGTGATTACTTGACTTGTGATTAGTATTATCTTCGTTAGCTGTCAACAACGTGCAACGGAAATCAATTGTTAATCAGATTTCAGTTAGCTTATTATAGTACAAACAATAAACTCTCGTGTATTACTCGGATAAGCAAAAATATAAATTTTCAAGCATTTTAAATATGACAAAAAATTATTTCTTGCGTAAGCTTATATGTTTATATATAAATCACATTAATTAATATATAAATATATAGATTATTGAAATGATTTCTCTCTCGTAATTACCATGATAAATTTAAATCTTAGCACATGGTTTAGAATATAAAAATTATCTTGATATCCCGAAAAAAAATCTGAAGTTCTGCTTTATAAAATTAAATTAGAAAAAAAGTTCCGAGTTGAATTGCATTCAACAACAAATTTTTTGTAATTATATTATGTTACATTTAGCGCATTTTTTAATTACATCATTCACAGTGGTCCATGATTAGATATAATTCAGCACTTAGAAACCTACATAAATCTGAGAAACATTGATTTAAACATATTCACGGCAGTGCTAAAAAAATGTGGGCATTTTAATATTTCAAATAAATTCTTCATCAATTTAAAATTGTCATAAAAAGACTCTTCAGCAACAAAAAAGCAGCACCTAAAAACAGGAAGAAGTACAAACGCGCACACAAACACATATCAATGCGGAAACAAATATGAGTGAAGAAAAAAAAGTATTGGAAGCAAAACAGATACATCCAACGAAGAACAACAACGAAAATAGCAGGCATCATAATCATCGATCTGGACAATCATAGTCCCGAGTACCTGACGTATGAACTGCAGTGAGCGCACAGTGGTATACGCGATCCTGCTCCGACAGCCTGATTCAGAATGCCACGTCCGCGTTTGGGCGCACTGCTACCGGCAAACGATCCGCTCTTGGAGCTCGTGCCGCCGAGGCCGCCAACTCCGGTACCTAGATCCGGATGGGATGACAAATTTGGTGGGTCTACTAAATTCTGGGTCTTACTAAGAGGATCACAATGGATCTGGTCTTGGCAGTGGTTCCGGTTGTTTTGACAATGATCGCCGGATTCACAATGGGTCTCGCGGTAGCTTTGAGTGTGGCAGTAAGTGCTCTCGCTATAATTCCTAGTCTGAGGAAGCTGATTTTGCGCTTGGGGCTCGATCGGCTTGTAAAGCTGTACTACCGGTACATTTTGTTGGCCGTTCTTTGCGGTCAATCGCGCAAGTTGACCACTCAGATTAGTGCGAGGCTTGAAGCTCGGAGCTGAATATTGAGGAGCCGGCGAAGAAATTTCGTCGTAAGGAAGCGGAATTTGAGGGAAGGGGAGATTTGTCCTCGACTGATTCGGACCAGGCTTCTTGCAAGGTGCCACGCAGACGGAACCGTCGTTACAGGGAGTCACACAGATATCCGAATCAGGACAGCCGGAAATGTTGAAGTCGCAGCCTGATTCGCGACCGCAGGTGCCCGAAGGTTGACCGCAGGTACCAGATCGCATACCGAAACAAGGCGACACGCACACTCCCGACCGGTCTTTCGTAGACGTCACGCAGATGCCGGATCTAGGGCAGGCGGTTTGGGAATTCTCGCAGGGCACCACGACGACACCGGCCTTAGTACCACGATCCGAATACGCTTTGCAAGGTAGAACGGTCATCCCGGTCTGCGGACAAGATTTCGACGAGGGAGTCTCGAATTGCACGTGACGCACTTTCGTACAACTGCTGTACGTCGGCTGTTTGTTTGACGCAGAACTAGTTTGTGATATCATAGGGCACATCAAGGTCGGTTTCGTGTGACTTATTTTGTTGATGGCGCAGATGCTTGGTTTCGTATTCTGCGACGGTGATGCCGGTGGCAATGCGTCCTTTCGTTCGCATTTCTCGAAATCCTCGATTACTTGAAGCGCTCTCTTCACATGAGTTGCGGTGTTCTGTTGCTCGTTGGTTTCCTCGCTAGTCATGCACCGCGTTTCCTGGAATTGAGCGTAAAGTGCGTCCGTCGGACCCGCGTCAAGACTGTTTGTCTCCTTCTCGTCATAATTGACAGTTCTCGAAGCGGAATATTCTTGCTTCCTGTGTCCGCTGTCGGTATCTTCCTCCACGTGATAAGAGATGGTCTTACGCGACGGAAAATGAACCGATCCGCCACGTTTTGACGGCGGTGGATCCTCTCGGATCCTTGGAGCTTGAGATTTCACATAACATGCCGGCGGCTCAGGCGGTCCTTGAGCAGGTGACTTAGATCTGGCAGATGTCGGAGTAGGAGTTCTACTAGGAACAAACGGGTGACCTTCCACCGGTTCTTTCTTCATTGCTACTAGATATCTCTGATAGGCTGGTATAGCGTCCGGTTTCTTTAGACCAGCCGTTAACAATTTTGGTGTTTCCGGTCGAAATCTCGTAGCAGGCGATGCCGAAGAATCTCTTAGATGATGATCGGGTGGCGGAGTAGGCAAAGGTCGTGGTCCGGACTCTTTAACTTTCTTCTTGACACACAACTGCTCTCGCGCGTAAGATTCTCTCGTTGTGCTCTCTTTCCCATACAGAATATCCAACGGCGGGCAGAAGCCTCCATTTTGAACTTGAAGATTTGGAGTCTGCGACCTACTGGCGATCTGTTGATCTTCCGGCCCGATTTCCCGACTCAGAGGAGTATAAGATCGTTCGGGCGCTATCGTCAATGCTTGTTGGAAGGGCGAGATTGATCGGATCTTTTCTTTGGGCGGCGGTGGCTTAGGTCGACATTTATGGTGTAGATAAATAGTTTCCTCGGTATAGAGCTCTTTTACGCTAGAAGTGGCGTTCAACGGTGTATAAGATCGATCAGGCGCGGTCGTCAGAGCGTTTACCATCTCGGATTTCCATTCTTTCGGCGTGGAATTTTTCACGGACGTGTCCGGTAAAGGTTTCGGCCCCGTTTCCGTCTCCTTCAGGAACTGCACTTTTTTCTTGCACGTCTCCATGGTCTCTTGAGGCTGTTGGTTGTACCTCGCAACGACATTCCGTCTCTCCGGCGCCTGTTGATCCCGGAGACTCTGATGTACCTCTACTTGTTCCCGCAAACTCTTTTTACGCTCGTCCTCTACGGCTCCTTTTCTTCTCACGCGTTCCTGGACCAGCACTTCCTCGGTAATCTCTTCATAAGTCTCTTTCGTGACCTTGCAACGTCCCGGAGTGGATCCCTCTGATTCTGTAATTCGTTCCTCTCGTACAACAGTCTTGCCCAACGGTTGTTCTCGCACTTCCTCGACCTCTTCATCTTCTTCGTTGAAAGTCACATGTTTTTTAATTTTTTCCTCCTCTTCTTGTTTTTTTCTTTCTTTTTCTTCTTGACGTCTTCGCTCTTCTTCTTCGCGCTTTTTCTTTTCTTCTTCTTCTTTTCTTCGCTCTTCTTCTTCCTCTTCTTTTTTTCTTTCCTCTTCTTCCTGTTTGGCTTTCTCCAACATCTGCTGGGCATCGACGGCTGACGTAACCATTTCGGCAGATTCTTCAACAGTTCGTTCTTCCATTGTGTTCTTCACTTCTCGATTGATATGCGTCTCGGTTCTTCTCGCAAGACATTGCGATTCTGTCGCATTTTTCACCTCTTTCCATGGTTTTTTCGAAAGTCGCCGATTGCTTCACGTGCATACCGTTCACCGTCTCTTCAGACGTCTCGGTGATAAGGTCGTGTTCACCCTGAATTCCCTTCGAGATTTCCGCATCATCCGTCTCATCATCCCTTAGGTCAGTAATTTCGGTATCGACTTCTTTAACTACCTCCGCTGGTTCCTGCTTAGGCATTGGCAAGGGCGGTTTTGGGCAGATCATTTGTTCTCGTCGACAGATTTCCGCTCTATATGCTCGCTGTTCTTCCCGATGTTCCCTGCCGCCTGATATACGTTCTCGATGACAGACCTCCCGTTGCATAAACTTTTTGCAGACCTGTTCCGCAGGCTGTTCTCGCTGTGTCGCGTAACTCTGCTCGTAAAGATTGGTACTGCCGCCGCTGACGGTCGCAGTCCACGGTTTAGGAATCGGTTGGACGATTCTGGTAGGCGTCAACGATCTTCGAACGCTGTCAGTCGAACTTGGTCTCGACGTAATCACATCCGCTCGAGAGGTTCTACTGGTGGTATCCACTAACTCGACACGTTGATACATTGGTTGTCCGGGACAACTCACTCGGTCCATCGCGTCAATCTCGTGTCGATGACCGTACTCTATCGACGCCCTTTTGATCTCTCGATCGATACTTTTACTTCGATGTCTTTCCGTTCTACAGTTTAAAGCTCGCTCGCAAGCTTCAATGCTGGCACGTTTCTCTTTGACCGCCTGATGGCACTTTCTGTCGAGAACGGAATTTGGATTGATATAGAGGGGACTAGCGGTAGGGTACGTGATATCTTCGATAGGTTTTGGGGGTGGCCAAATAAGATTCCGATGGGATTTTACAGAATTGGGAAGAGGAAACTGGTCTCTCGTATTCTCCGCAATCTCGTAATAGCAGGATCTTTCGTAAGTTTCACTACTAGGAATTTCTGGAGTGGCAAATGCGATAGATGATAGAGATGAAGGATTGGTTTGGAAACGCAGGCGAGTAAAAACAGATGTACACAACAACAAAAATGCATGGTACATGCATTTGTGAGGATGAGTAACGGATTAGGTTCGTTGTGGCACGTTAGAACGATAGAACAAACAAAACAAAAAAAAAACAGAGAAATCTGCCGTGAGTAAAAAGCACGATGAATCGCGCGCGCCCGTGGTCTCTTCGATTTTTCTGCCAAATTTGACAAATTGTATATTTTAAATATACAAACACGATCAACTTTCCAAATAATTCTTAGATAATAACACTCAGTAATACATCATTAAAAAATATTTGTTTATGTATTTATACATATTAGGATACAAACACACGTTATAAAATATGTATAATAAATATTTTTAAT